CCCCCCCGTGGCGGGGCGCAGTGGTCTCGCCCGCAGCCTCGCGGCGCCGCCGGCAGGGCGGGTGTGCCCGTGGGCACGTGCGCGTGCGCAGCGGCCGTTGGCGCGCGGCAGCCCGCGAGGACCGTTGGTGCGGTTGGGCTAACGGCTTGTCGGGTGTCGAGATGCACTCGGTGAGACGGCCGCGCCGTGGCTCGGTAGCTTAGGGGTCAAGGCTTGGCTCCTCACGGGCCTTCCTGAAGGGGGAGAAAGCCCTTCTCTTTTCATCTTTTTTATTTTCAACAAAAGTAATGAATAAGGCCTCACTCGGGACAGAAAGCCGCTCCTGAGGTACCGCAGCACAGTCGCTGCCTACGCAAATAACGGATACGTGTCGGCAGCGGTAAACCATGGAGCTGCTGCCTTGTGCCAAACCACGTGGGTGCTAGGGAGAGCTGAAAGTAAGGGAGTTTACAATAGAAGGCATTGTGCAAGTAGGAAAAATTGCAGGAATTAAAATTACACACATGTGACTGTTGTAAATTCACAGCCAAAGTCTCTGTTAAAGGGATTCTTGCTGGATGCACATCTGAGAACTGGAGAACGTGAGCGATATGGTGCTAGTGATGCGCTAATGCTTTCAAGAAAAAGAGAGAAAAAATGAAGAACCCAGCATAGATATGAATAACACAATGTATCCGTTAAGTTTCAAGTATTTGTAGGACATTGATTTATATATTTTCTGTATTTCTTAAGAGCACTGTGGAAAAAAAATTAACTCTCATACTGTCAATTAACTCCATAATTAGTGACAAAACAGAAGACCTCAGCTGCTGAACCAAGTTAGGACTGTTGGTGACATTCAGCTGAGTATCCAAGGATATGTACAACTGTAAACACTTGGAGGGAGACAAATGCAGGCTTTGTCTGAGAGAAGTGCCTAAGAAGTGTGTGCTGGAAGAAATCACAGGAGCAGAAGGTACTGAGTAACAGTGACTGAGATTTGTGTTTTTATCTCTTTGGGTAGATTTTAGGTAGATTTTCCCCTGTTAAGTTACCAGTGCTGCCCACCTTTATTCAAACAATGAAGCTACACAGATTGTGAATGGATGTTGACTTCATATCCTGATAGTATTATTGTTATCCTCAGTAACTAGTAGGTTCCTTTGTAACTGAGGAACTCGCCTCACCCACTGGATATCTGCTATTTAACTTAATTTAGTTTGCCTTTTCTTACCATTATGCAAAGTTTTGAACAGTGGTCTGAATTACTCATCTCAGCAACTGCTCTGACCATAGAGAGTTGAGGGATTTAATAGATAAAAGTCTGATTCCACAATTGCCATTTCTTCCAGGAGTAGAAATGGTAGTCAGTAATACAACTATGAATTTAATTATGACGTGTAGAGTTTAAAAAGCATTAAAGAGCATTAGGGGTACTGAAAGATCATCCCTGTGTCACAGATATGAAAAGGGAAATTTGATGGAGGTAAGTAATTTGCTCAAGGTTATGGCAAACCTGAGAATATAGTCTAGTTCATTGATTTTGTTGCTAATGAACAATTCTTCCATTACAGCCTTGATCAGAAATACTGCATTTCTGTGTTTTATTTCCAAATCAGTGCTAAGGCAACTATTCATTTTACCTCTATTTTTTGTATGTAATAGTCACTGCTTTGAGCTTACCTGGTGATTTTCTGTCTGCTGGTGTTAGGTGCCCTTATATCAGGTCCTAAAATGGGCATCTTTCCAAGAACAGTTCTAGTCTCTTTAGAGTCAGACTTCTTAGAAAATAAAACTTAATACAATTGTGTCATGTATTTGCTGGCCAGTAACCAGTAACCTCAATCTCTCAGCCAATTTCAGTCAAATTTGAGTACAGGGTCAAAGTCCCAAGCTCCAACCCATATTCCTTCAGGTTTTGTGAAAGCTGGCAAAACACAAATTAATGCCTCTGTCTACCCTGCTGAAGGTGAATCTTACTTTATGCGTGCTGTTTACCACAAGCATACTTGCTAGTCAGTCACTCTAGGTTGATATTAAGTAATATTTTATTAGAAGAATGTAGAAAATCCAATAAATCTTTTCCACTCTGCCATCTGTGATTTCATGCGATGCCGTAGGGGACCAATACACTAGGCAGAATCTATGCAAGAAAGGTAATAAGATTATTAGATTGGATACTCTGTTCTGGTGACTGCTGTTATATGAAGCCATGTTGTAAATAAGTATGTAAATCACATAACAAAAATAAGTTAAAGAAATCCATTTCTACAAGTAGATTGGTTCAAATGCTTTGAGAAACTGTTTTTTTTTTCTGAGAAAACAAACCAGAAGATTGTTTTGTTTTAACCTCCAAGTATTTATGATATTTTAACAGTTTAGAGAGAAAGCAGTTTTCAACCAGTTTAAATCAGAATATGTGAATTAGTGGTGTTAGACAACTTTGAAAAATGCCAGCGTTATACTAGGACTTGTAAACAGGATTAGCATTCATAGGAAAGATGAGGCAATCCTCTGCTGCCTCGCACTGGGAAGGCCTTAACTGAAATAGTACACGTTGCACTTTGATACCCCTGAGAAGCAAACAGAATGATCACAGGTTACAAATGCAAACTCATTCGGGAATGACTGAAAGAATTGTGTTTAGGGAAGACTGGAAGAATACACAATATAAAAAATTGCTGCAAAGATTTTTTTTTCTGGTTTTGATATATATGAGCATCCTGAAACTGCAGCAAGAGGCCCTTTTGAGCACATGACTAGAGTACGTGGGAAGTGACTGTAATGTCCACCATTGAAGGTTCTTAGTGGAAAGTTCTTTAGATTTTATGTATCAGATTTTTTTTTTCTAGCTTTTGGTCAGAAAGGGGAACTGTGTGAGGTTTGTTCTTGTTTTCTGTGTTTCTAGGAAACATTCTTTTTCAGTCCTTGGAGAGCATGAGGACATGCTCTATTTTTATTGTGCCAGGCTTCCATTGTGACAAACCAATTTTGCTTCTGAAGTAATTTCATAGACCATATTGATTTTTGTAACAGAAATTGATATGAGTTGCTAATAACATGGACCTTAAAATGCAGCGTTATTGTGAGCTGATAGTTATATACACTCTTGTTCCTTTATCTTATTTCAGCAACACAGGAGATACAACTCTATGAATTCATATGCTCACATATGGTGAATTCACTTTCATGAATTCAGATTTTTTCAAAATACTGTGCATTGAAAGTGTCACGTGCGTTGTCAGTGAACTAACGCCACTGTGAGGAACTAATGCTGTGACTAGAACAGAC